GACATTTTCTTGAACCCCACTAAGAACTCAAGTCACAACAGGAAATACCGTCAAGATGTCTGCCATGGACCTTGACGCTCCGGTGTCTATTGCGACTCGATTTGCAGCAGCAGATCAGCAGCAAAACGGCGCAACGTGGGAGAATCCTCCACAACTTGCAAGCATTCTACTAACATATTCTAGTATTCTGTGCTGCAACTGTGGCGCTGCCATCGATGGAACAACCGCCGCAGGTGCCCTTTGCTACGACTGTGTGAAGCTTACCGTCGACGTGTCTCAAGGAATTCAGCGCGAGGCAACCCTACATTTCTGCAGAGACTGTGATCGATGGCTGCTTCCCCCCTCCAGTTGGATTGTCGCCGCTCTCGAGTCCAGAGAACTGCTCGCCCTGTGCCTGAAGAAACTGCGAGGCCTACACAAAGTACGGATTATCGACGCGAGCTTTATTTGGACGGAACCACATTCTCGAAGAGTAAAGGTCAAGCTCACGATACAAGACTCGGTCTCCGAGGGAGTTGTGCTACAGCAGGCATTTGAGGTGGAATATGTCGTCGCATACCAACAATGCCCTGACTGTGCGAAATCCTATACTGCGAATACCTGGAGAGCTTGCGTACAAGTCAGACAAAAGGTTCCCCATAAGAGAACTTTCCTCTATCTCGAACAACTCATTCTCAAGCACGGCGCACACAAGGACACGATCAATATCAAGGAAGTGAAGGATGGGCTGGATTTCTACTACTCAGCGCGAAATCAGGCCGAGAAATTCGTCGATTTCCTCACCTCTGTTGCACCAGTCCGAAGCAAAAAATCTCAAGAATTGATCTCGATGGATATCCATACATCTACGAAATCGTACAAGTTCTCGTACTCCGTCGAGCTGGTCCCGATTTGCAAAGATGATTTAGTGGCGATACCCATAAAACTCGCAAAGCAGATTGGTAATATATCTCCTCTTGGAATTTGTTATCGTGTGGGCACCACAGTCAACATCCTCGACCCAGCAACTCTCCAGACCGCAGATATCAGCACCCCAATCTACTGGCGTGCCCCCTTCACTTCTCTTGCCGATGTACAAGAACTGACCGAATTCATCGTTATGGATATCGATCTGCTGGGACCACAGAAAGGTAGATGGGCTTTGGCCGAAGCAACCGTTGCACGCGCCTCAGATCTCGGATCCAATGACAAGACATACTACACCCGCACGCATCTGGGCAATGTTCTACATCCAGGGGATTCCGTAATGGGATACCTACTTACGGGCACAAACTTCAACAATCCACAATTTGATGCTCTGGAAGAATCTCACACGTACTCGTCACAAATACCGGACGTTATGCTCGTGAAGAAGTTTTACGCAAGAAAGAAGAAGGCCAAGAACCGTAACTGGCGCTTGAAGCGTATGGCTAGGGATGAGGGCGATCTCTTACCAAAGAAGTCCGACCAGGAGCGCATGGACAAGGATTACGAGATGTTCCTGCGTGACGTTGAAGAAGATGAAGAGCTGAGACAGACGATGGCTCTGTACAAGGCTCAGCAACAACAGAAGATCGACGCGGAGGCCATGAGTGTTGTAGAGACTGACGATGGGGAAGACGAGACTCCACACATTGACATGGAGGAGTTGCTGGACGAATTTGACGAGCTGGCTGTTACGGACAAGTAGGGGACTTCTAGCAATGCATCGGATCTGTTGGCGTTTGGTAGAAAAAGGTGTTGGTCTGGGCCGGTTTAGCATCGGATGTGGAAATGGACATGAATTGCAGATTTATAGCACTTTACATCATGCAACTGTTGCCAAATGCTACATGTCTGAGCTTTTGTTCCTTGAATTTTAATGGTGTGTTTGTTTACTATGTGCGATAATGCTTTATGCCTCCATCGAACCAAAGCTCAATCTCTCTTCAACACTTGCAAGCTCCAGATTACCTTCATCCTTCGCTTATTTATCTTGAGGCATCAGAGATCTACTTCACGAAGATCAATAATCCTTCGCTAACATGGATAGCCAGCCTCCAACTTCCACCCCGCCCTAGTCTCATCGCCAAGCGCCACTTGGCGTTTCAACAACCCAAGATGGCTTTGTTTCCAGGTCTCGAAACTTTCAACCAATCTACAGGAAACGGCTAGCCGTGCGCAATCGCTGTCATCGTGCTGTCGATTTAAAGTTCCGAGGCTGATAACCTTGAAAGATCCAAGTCCAATCTCCGTGCTGTCCTGCAGATAAGTACTCTACCTCATAGGTCCAATCTCCGTGGTGTCCTTCAGATAAATATTTCATCCCATGTACCGGGTCTCGAAACATCATCCAGGTAATGTCCCGTCATGGATATCTTCTATGTTATAATGTGAATCGCAGCTGTGAACATAAGAGAGCAAGTGCTCCTATTGAGCTAGATTGAAATCTACCTTCGTTTTTGCATCTCGTTTGAGAGTATTATATTCGCTCATTTTCCATTCTCATATCCACTCGTTTGCCATGCATTCTTTCACACTCCTTTCTCTCGCGGCTGGTGCCGTGCAAGCCTATACCATCGTCGTCGTCGACAAGTTCATGACTAAGAACATAGATCCTGTTGTTATGCCGGGCAAGTACAAGAGTCACTTGCATACTTTCTTCGGTTCTGATGCGGTGGATCTCAACACGACAACTTCCAAAGAACTTCAGACGGGGTGTACGACCGCAAGGAATCCTAATGATTTCTCTTCTTACTGTAAGTTCACCAAATGATCACCTGATTTTGACCTCGAGCTGATAAAATATCAGGGGTACCAACACTACTCTACGTCGACGGAACAACCAACACACCCGTTCCCTTCTCCTCCTTCTCCGCCTACTACGTCGACATCGACCAAGCCGAAATCGCCATCCCGCAAGACTACAAATCCGTAGTTGGCAACGCCGCCGCCACCTCCCAAGCAGACGTCAACGACCTCGCCGGCATAGAATGGTGGTGCGAAGGCGACCCCGCCGAAGCAGGCAAAGACAAAGCCGCCTTCCCCTCCAAGACATGCTCAACGCATCTCCAAACACTGCTGCTGTTCCACGATTGTGTCAATCCGGATACGCTTGAGTCTGCCTATTCGGGGACACAGAATTGGAAGGAAGGGTTCAAGCCGGCCAATAGATGTCCTGCTGGGATGAAGAGGATGCCGAGGTTGAGGTTCTCGATTCGGTATGATTTGAGAAAGATTGTGCCGGGTGGGTGGAATGGGAAGGCCCCTCTCAAGTAAGTGAAACCTCATACACAGTCTATATCATTCATATCTTGCAAGTCTTGTGCGACCAAGATACAAAATTCATCGAGCATAAATGCTGACCTCAAAACCAGACTGGCCTGTGGACCATCCTACTGCACCCACGGCGACTTCATCAACGGCTGGCTCCCAGAGTCAGCAGAAAACATGTTACTCGCAAACTCGAAGAGGGACTTTGCCGCAGTCTCTGGTCCTCTCGGCGTGCAAGACAACAAAGTCGCCGCAAAGTGCAAAGCGCAAGATGCCGATCCTGGAAACGGGGCTTCGGATTACGAGAGCAGTCTCAAATTTCTGTAGAAGGTTTGGAGAGTGGAGTGCTACGGAAATGGTTGCAGCTGATCTGACGACTCCAGGTGTTGAAGTTTGTCGCGATGAGGACCGGGTTGGGAGAGAACAGCGGTTCTGAGGTATTTTCTGCAGCCAAGTGATCTGCCTTGTATTACTAGAAATTGTTATGGTTCTCTAAGAAGACCAAGAGGCGAAATGTTCGAGCGTTGGAAAATCAACACTCTAGAGAATTTTTCCCACTTTGAGCCCGGAGTTTAGCCAGGCTAGCCACGATGGTGAGGCTAGCGCTGCGAACGCTGACAGTACGTGCAACGATGAGAGCACTTTGGATGTTGACAGTGCCTACCTGTGGTTTCTTACTTCCATTGACACAGCTCTTTTAAACTTGAAGAGAACAGTACCAGATATCTACAAGTGAAGACGCGGAAATAAACAGACGCAGGTGAAGGAGGGTAGATTAAGCGAGCTATCCAATCACCGAGCCATATATGTATGTTGTTAGACTGATGCTATAATCCACAAGCTGGGTAAAGCTAATATCTGCCAAACGAGCTATATATGAGCCTCACTGGGACAACTGTGGGTAGGGGTTTATCGTTTTGCCAAGCTTGCCTCACTTACTTAGCCAAAACATGAGGTTTGTGGTCTGGAACTGGCTTCCCTTCATCTGCATATACTCGGCGATAACATGGCAACGCTATTTTGATGAGGCTCAATTGAATCATCAGCAGTTCACTAAGATTCTATGAGTGGGTGTACTCAAAGTCTCAAGGCTGTAAAGAGCATCTTATCGAATGATCTTGATTCTTGGGTCAGCGTCTTTAGATTTGTGACTTACCATGCCACACCATCTAAATTCCAAAACGTTGATAAGTTCCTTCGGAGAAAGATGATAGGAACTTACAAGATGAGAGTCATCCCACCCACCAAGACTTCAAGCTAGGCTCCATATTTACCAGCGCAGTCATAACCGTCACCATCCGCCCTCACCCGGCAGAACCCCCGGCACCAGCTCATTCACTTCACACCACACATCCTCACCTTTCTGTGCGTGTGTGATCTTTTTTTGTCGCCGCTGTGCTGTGTCTAGTGCTACTAATCTTTTTGGAAACTTTTTGCGTTTGTTGATTTTTGCGTCGATTTTGGACCGACGAGTGCTAAGCGAGTCAGAAAGTCATCAACAAATGGGTTAAGCATGCAACAAACCTCTCTCCAATCGCCCTGCAACACCTGATAGTCGACCTCAAAGAACCTTAAACAATTAAATACCTCCTCATTGACTCATTGATGTACGAGAATTCATTGAGATCATAAGGGGTTACTACCCCTTCCAACTAAGTAATGCGTATCATCCCCTCAACAAGCACGCAGCTTGTCTTCTCCCATGCTCTCCAATTTCACTATCCTCATCATCTGACTAAATAACAAAAACTCGCCAACAAATCACATGGTCCGGAATGGTGTAGTGGTTAGCATTTCTGCCTTTCAACCACCTGTCTGCCTGACACACAAACAGTGAAAGCCCGCAGGAGACCGGGGTTCAATTCCCCGTTCCGGAAGCTTTCTTTTTTCCCTCTTCTTTTTTGCCTGTTTTCATAATAGACGGAATGCTCGCATTACCCTGCGGCCAGATTGTGATGCCCAAAGGGTGCCTAGACTTCACGTATAGCATATAAAGACGATGAAAGGAGGACTACCCCAATTCTAATTACACCTAGGACTATCTCCTCATCCCCAAGAGTATATGCAACAGATCCGGCATCGAAATTTGACGCCCGCAAAAATATCAAGGGTATGATCGACTGAACATATTCACAAACATATTCAAAATTCCTCAGGTCGTGCCATCATCACTATCATCTTCATCATCATCGTGTCCCTTATAATGGATCTGACGGTAGCTGTAGGCCCGTAGATGCAATAGCTCAAACTCGAATCATTATACAGCTCAACATTCAAAGCAAATTCAACGTGAGCTCATATGTCTGCATCAGCCGGCGTTATTCCTCATCTGTGCATCTTCAACAGCTTGATCCCAATCCGCCTTCCAAATAAAGTATCCTTCAGCAGCAGCAACCCTGTCCGAAGTTAGCCAACGTCCTCTCCCCTGCTCCGCTATTCTCTCCAAATGTATAGAGAAAGAACAGAACTTACAAGCCGAGTGCAAGGGCAACGCCGCTCCATAGGCCTTGCAGTTCCCAATCCAGCGCAAAAGCCGTATAAAACGAAATCGGCATCGCAATAACATAGTAGCAAAATAAGTTCACCCATCCACCGATCTCCTGTCTCCCGAGACCTCTTAGCAGACCGTTGCAGTTTGCTGCTAGGGCATCGAAAAGCTGGAATGCCGCGCAGAGAGGCATGACGCGGGCGACAAGGTCGGATACGCCTTGGTCGTTGGTGAAGAGTTGAGGGATGAGGTTCCGGAGGGAGGAAAGAAGGATGACATTAAATATGCCAATGAGGGCTGCTGTTATCATGACCTGGAGGAGATGTCAGTGAATGGCGTCCAAAGTAGGCAGTAGGGAAATCACTCACCACTTTGGCGGACGTCTTTGCAGCATCGCTAAGAGTAGCTCCAATCAAGTTCGCAATACGAGTTGATGCTGCAATGGAAGTCGAGAACGGGATCTGGAACGTCATGGCGGTGATCGTACTCAAGACGCTCTGAGCAGCAAGATGTGTGGTGCCGAAATAGCTTGCTGCGAGGGTGAGGATTTCGAAGGCAAGGTATTCTGCTTCGACCATGAGCAAACCAGGCAATGCAAGCTTAATCATGGGGCCTGTTCATATTAGCTTCATTTCGGTATTTCAAAATTGCAGGTTGCTGCATACCCCAATTATGGAAAGCCTTCCATGTAAACCCATTCCAACACTGCCTTCCATCCACAAACCTCACGTACAGGAACAAGAAGATTGGTAGAAGGTTATCTGTAACAGCAACCGCAATTGGGGCACCAACGAAGCCCCAATCGAAATGCCAAACAAAGAGCCAATTCATGAAAGCGTTCAGAGGAGCCGCAACAAGTAGCACATATGTCGTAGCAGAAAACAAGCCCTGAGCCTGTACGAAGCGCTTCCCGCTCTCGAAGCAAGCGTAACCGGGTGCACCGATGAGCAGGATTCGGAGATAAAGTCCCGCAAACTCTGCAGATTCCTTTTCGGGGACCATTTTCTCCAGGATCTTCTCCGCAAATAGCCAGAGTACGCCAATAGGTATCGTCAGCATCCAGAGGAAATAGACCATCCTCTGCAGTTGCAGACCAACAAGATGCTTCTTTCCGCTTCCATAAGCCTGAGCACACAGCGTATCCAGACTCGTAGCCAATCCTTGGTATATCGCATATCCGGAAATATTTGCTGTCATGCTAGCCAAACTGACTGCGCCGAGTTCTACCTTCCCAAGATGCCCGACTGTGAAAATACTGGCAACTGGTAGAGAGTACTGCAGCACGAAAGTGACTACCAGAGGACTGGAGTATTTCCAGAGCGTCTTCGCTTCTCGCTGCCATGTCGTCTTGATCTTTCCAGATGCAACAGCTGCTTCCCACTGAGCATTCAATCTCTCATGTCGAGTTCTCGCAGATTCCGGTACACCATCTCCCAGCAACGCAGAAGTTTCCGAAGGTCCTACCGCGGACGTTGGGTCTTCAGCATCCGCCTCCTCATCTGCCACCGTCTTCGGTCTCCTCGTGCTAAATAATCGCTTGTACAACCGGCCTAGAGCACTTCTGTCTTTGAGCTCAGGATGCTTCGGTGGAGCAAGGTGATTGTCCCTCAACAAGCTTCTCTCTTCATTTCTTACTGCCTTCTTTTCTTTCTTCGTGAGGTAGCTTGGTTCTTGAAACTGGGGGAAAATTTCACGTTAGCGACTTCTTTCCAATCGCAGTCCACCAAGGTATGATTGTTCAAGATAGGTCCGAGAACACAAGTCTGCCTTTACAGAATAGTCCCCTTGGAAACATAATGTCTCTTCACTCACCTGCGGCGTCACAGCACCTCTTGTCCCTCCAAAGGCCACAAAACTCGGCCTCCTATACGAGTTGGCCATAGAATGTTGCACCGCCTCGGGGCGCACTGTTGAGGCTTCTGAAGAATCATCTTCCGAGCTTACACTCCCACTCTCGGGATTCTCGACCTCATCGTCGTCGTCGCACTCCTCAAGATCTCGTGCGATCGATTCCTGAGCGAGAGGCGAGCCAGGCAGGAAGGAACCCGAGAGGTAGGAATTGGTGAAGGGCGATCGTGCAATGGAGTGCCGACTGGGCTGTTTCTTGATCGGTCGGGCAGAGCTTGACATTTTGAAGAATGGGAGAGGGCCGAGTCGCCTAGAATCCAGGGTCTTTTTGTTTAATAGTTGTTGATCCGAGTATTGTAGCAACTTGAACACTCAATAGGGTAACATGCCATAGATTTCACTGAAGCGAAATGGGTCAATTGGGTAGACCGCCCTCGACTAGATGATATAGAGGATTATACAAACAGTGGAAAGGAAGAGAAAGAAAGAAAGAAAGAAAAGGCACAGAGATGTGAAAGATGCACAAGACCGCTTCCCCACCAGAGCTCTCCTCTCGCGTCTCTCCCTCCAGAGCAGAGGTAATCGCCCCACGACTAGCCCCTCCAAGTCTAGACCAATAGATAAGGGTTTGTCTGTCTGTCTGAAAGAGGAGCGTTTACCCGACGGTAAGTGAGTCAAGCTTTGAAGGGAAAGAAACATGGATCATTTCTTCATTCATGAAATCCTGCATGGTGAAGGAGGCGAGAAGAGCATGGAAAGTTGACCCTTTCGAACAAAACGTGTGTTTATCAAAAATTTGCAATATCTAAAATAATTGTACGAAATCCATGTGCAAAATGTTGAAATGAAGAAGAATCCCTGCTTAAAACTGACAGGGCAAGGATGGAATGAAAGAACGTGCGGCCGCTTCCGAGGCAAGCATCCAGAGTTGAGAGGACGAGACGAGACGAGATGAGATGACAGAAAAAGAGGAGCAAAGCAACTAACAATGAACTACAGAGATCGTGGTAGACAAAGAACTATATGCACATTTGTACAGTACTGTACTGTATAGATAGATATTGTGCAACAAAAAGATCATAAGCCTAACTTAGCCTCAGAAAGTCAACTGGCATTGTGATAACCTGAAAGAACCCCGCCAGGACCCTTGAAAATACGGTCACCCAGCAGCTCATGCACCTTCAACACAAACACGCAGAACCGACACCGGCATCCATAGATTGATTGGCATTGGCAAATGATATCACCAGATCACAAGAGCACGCAAGAAACACCTCCATCTCTCCCAACACCCTTCAATTGAAGCTAATAAACAACATTCCATAGACCTCAAAGACTCGAAAGTCTAATTTGATCATCTCATGTATCCACAATGCCTCTCGCAGATGCCGCCACAGACGATGAAGAGGAAGTCGGAAGGAGGAATTCATACACTCCATTCGGATTGCCGCTGCGATTTACGCCTGTGAACGTACCTCCGTGAGTATATCTCGTACACTCTTTCATCTATTCTCCTCCAAGCTTTCTTCTCCGTATCTATCTAGACCTTCAAAACTATTGGAAGCAAGGGCAGTAGAGAAAAGGATTGATTCTCGGGATGGAGGGGTACAAACGTTGACAGACAGGAGAAGAAGAAGATATGCTAACACCACCTCCCACCATACAGACACAACACCTCCTCTATATTCTTCGTACCCCCCTTCTTCGGCCCCCTCCTCTTCGACAACACCGACAGCGACGCCCGCGACCACTGCGCCAACGAACGCAGTAAGAACCCCTCTTCCAACTCTTCCCCTTCCCCTCTCTCACCTCCCCCCGCCCTCCACCAAGCCCAAACCCAAACTAACCCTCTCCACCCCCTCAAAGCATTCCTCTCCTACCTCCGCCTCTCCGTCTACATGGCCATCGTCAGCATCGCCATCGTCGTCTCCTTCCACCTGAAATCGCAGCCCTCCCGACTCGAGCTGCGGATGGCCAAGCCCCTGGGCATAATATTCTGGCTGTTGAGCCTGAGCTGTCTCGCGCTGGGCTTTGGGAATTATATCAAGACCGTGAATAAGTATAGTAGGAGGGCGGCGATCGTGCAGACGGGGTGGAAGACGCAGTCGGTGAGTTTGTGGGTTTCTTTGAGTTCTGCTGGAGGGGTCACGAGGGAGTTGGACGGGCATATATCTTCTAGCAGGTATCTATGTTGAATACATGGACTTTGGGGAAGATTTGGTCTGCCAGATGCTAATTACTTTGATAGGTTCTGACGGTCATTGCTTTCAGCATTGTTGCTGTCTGTGTACTTTTCCTAGCTACGAATTCGAAACGAATATAATGGCAATCCATATGGGATGGTACTCAGAGACATTTTCCCGAGGATCGACATACATACATAATACGGATTTTGGTCATTGCGGATTGACTTTTATTGCTCTACGCTCAGGTCTAATGTGTTATGATGCCATGATCTTCGCCTACACTTCGTTGGAAATAATACCTATACTCTGCCAAAATCGAGACTACACATATGAGGTACCAGACTTCATCCATTCC